GTATACTTTCTATATATATATATATATATATATATATATATATATATATAAATAGGAAAAAAGCTGGGGGTTAGCCCACTAGCTCCTATGAACATATGAGCCCAACGGCTCAGATTGATTCTAGGCCGATCTGACAATCACGGATGTTTGGTAGTGCTTGAATTTTATTTTATTTACAACAAATCTAAATTACTTGAAATTTTAAGTGTGTATTCTTTTCATCAAGGTGCACCTAATTAAAAAAAAATTTATATTTGTGAAAAGCAAAATGACCAAAATACCTCTAAAACCTTTCGGGGGTATTTTGGTCAATTTATTTCATGTAAAATATTTTTTTGATAGTTTTTAAAGATTCACCTATTTTTGATGAACACACGCCTAAAATTTCAAATGATTTGGATTTGTAGAAAAAAAAATAAAATTCAAACACTATCGAACATCCATGATCGTCTGATCGGCCCAAATTCAATCTGGGCCGTTGGGCTCATATGTTCATATGAGCCAGTGGGTTAACCCCAGCTTTTTGCATATATATATATATATATATATAGAGAGAGATAGAGATATGGAAGATACTGCAATTGTTAACAATTTTTTTTTAAAAAAAGATATTACAAAACACCTATAGGCGAAAATGAACAGTGATTACGCCTACCCTCATCACCGTTCAAAGTTCATCGTACGGTCATGATTGTTTGGTTGTGTTTCATTTTTCATTTTTTTTTTTACAAATCGGAATGATTTGAAATTTAGAGCGTGTGTTCATAAAAAACTTGGCGAATCTACGAAAAATATCAAAAAAATATTTTACATGAAAACAATTGACCAAAATACCTCCAAAATGTTTGGGGGGGATTTTGGTCAATTTTTTCCGCGCATTATTTTTTTTATATTTTTATTAGGTGCGCTTCACTAAGATGTACACAGGCTTCAAATTTCTGATCATTCCGATTTGTGGAAAACAAATGAAAAATAAAACACTATCGGACAATCGTGTCCGTGCGATGAACTTTGGACGGTGATGAAGGTAGGTTAACTAATAAATTCATATAATTACAATTTAATGATACAATAGTTTCTAAAAAGGAATTATACGCTTACATCTATATTGTGCGAACTCAAAACAATAATAACAAATTCTTTTAAGAAAATTTATTTTACAGGAAAGCAAAAAAGTTTGTAAAATAAATATAGATTAGAAAAATTCAGAAAAATAAGATAGGTATTGTAAATAAATACCCCTAATAAATTGTCATATTGCATAATATCAAAAATTCTTTTTCTTTTCAAAAACATTGGTTTTATAAATCTCAGTAAAAAAAATTGAAGATAATTATAGAACTAGTGAAAAATAAATCAGATTATAAGGATTAATCCTTCCTAACAGGAAATTACGCAAAACCCCTATGAACATTATGCAATTTATTAGCAATGTTTTAGTGAAAGAGCATTTATCAGGCAAACCCTTAACCAAGCCTTATTTGGGGCTAGATTCAATATAGGTCCAGTAAATTACAATGAATGTTATTGCAGAGTGATTCAATACGATTCATTTGAAGTAAATTTCACCAAATTTGGTTCAATATTGAAGAGAATCGAGTTATTTAGGGATTTTCAGAAACCCTAGGTTTATAGAAAATTCGAGTAAAAATTCTAATAATAAAGGTAACTATGTTAGAGGAGATCTAAGCCGTTGTAGATCGCAACGGCCGCTTCAATTTGAAGATAAACCTCTTCAATCACACATGATTTTCAGGATCTAAGAAACTGAGATGGAAGAGAACCAGAAAATTTTCCCGCTCGATCCAAGCAAATATGTTGTTTAATAAGGCAAATAGAACATTCAATCTTGTAGAAGATTTGATTATGAACATTTTGAACCAAATTTCATTGACTTTAGTTCAAATTTGGTGCTAAACTGTGAAGAATGGCAGATTTGGGGAAACATGTTTTTGTTATTAGACCTTTCAAAAAAACTTTTGGAACTAATTCCATCTGTTGCGGAATTTGAAGCAAAATACTTTTGATTCTCTGAATACATTAAAAAAAAAAAACAAAGATTACATTGAAGAAATTAAGAAAAAATGGCACTTAATTGACCCAGTTACCTTGCTTGTTACTCAATCTTCTCGTTCTGCAAAAGTCTCTTTATTCTTTCTTTACTATTCATCCATGTTCTCTGTCGGCTGCTTGAATGTATTTTTGGTCAGTTGGAACAATCGTCCTTTTTGTCCAAAAATTCAAAGTGCAATATGGTGGGAACAGTTATTATATCAGTTAAAAGAAATGGGGCTTTTTACACAGCTGCATGAACATGTTGAGTGTGCATCCAATCGCTTTAAGACATCTCTTATATAAGTTTAAAATATTGTTTGTTGCTTAAGGACATAAAGGCAATCATTTGAATGCTTCCCTGTAATATAGGGGCAGTATATCAAAATGCCATCCATGAATTTATGTCTCAGTCAATGATTCAAAGCTCCAATTTAACTATGTTGTTGAATAAATTCAAAAATAAATTTTGAGATTTTTGTTCAAATTCATGCATGATTTTGTCATTTCAATTCATTTTGTATGCTAGTGAATATGATACATTTTTTGATCCAATTGTATCAAAAATTGGCCGACGTCTTCACACTTAAAAGGGTGTCTTGGTTTCTGCCATGGTTAGGCTCTTAAATGTCATGATGATTTTCAAATATCTGAAAATAAAGTTTGACATCATTTTGATTATATTTGACTTCATTTCAATGTTTTTTTCTTTGACTATGTGATTGTTAGGTCAGAAAAAGATCTTATTCCAGGTTTTTGCTGAAATTAATTATTTTGACTGTCGAAGCGATTTAAAAACACCCTAGACACCCAAATAGTTGGTTAATCATCAACCATTGGCTTGCCATCTTGATCATTTTTTAACTTTATCCAAAGTCCATTATTCAACTACTTGACTTTTTGTAATCATATGGCCCAGTACATTACCTGCATTCTTACCATGGTTAAGGACTTAGGCACTCATGAGGGCTTTATGCACTGGAGTGTCATGGTTTTCACCAGGGTTAAGTAGTTAGGCATTTTTAGGGTACATAAATCATGCAAATGTCTGCATTCCCTGTCTTCTTGGGAATGCTTTCCATTAATGTTGCTAAGAATAGCCTCCTCTCTGTTTTGGCTCCATGTGGACCTACAACAGGCCTCAAAAGACGAATTTGGGTCTTAGAAAAGGGGCACATTTTCATTATAGAACAGATTTGAAAGAGAACTTGAGCATCAAATCCTTCAATTATTTTCAGGTCTCTCTTATTTTATAAACAATTGTCTATTTAGGAAGTGTGGGTGCTCAATATTGCTCCCTAACTAGGGGGAGCTTCTGGCAAACCACGAACCCCTGATCCAAATCCTGCTTCCTCTCCCAACAAGTATGATTGTGTTCGATGCATCCTTGGGGGATCTCATTTGTCAGTGTAATGTTCTATCTTTGTCTGGCGAGTCTATAAAATTTTGAGGGTGAGGTTCTGGTGAGGCCACGTATTTATGAAATTTGCTAAGGTCTCACCTCAAACTGTGTTGGATAAACCAGATGTGGCAGTGGAAGACCTTGTTATGACCTGCAAATCCATTTGTTCAACATGTGCAGATCAGGTGGATTTTTGAAGACTTCTGATGGATATCAGAATAAGTGTTGCGAAATAGACCCTTTTTAGGGCTTCAAATCGATATTTTTCTTTTAGATCCATGGTCATTGATGTGGACATGACTGATTTGCAGGTTTCTGGCACCCGAACTACATTTTCCAGCGAGATATGAGGTGCGACTGTATAAAGCAGTGGCTTTACAAAATACTTTTTCTTATTTAAATCAAGAAAATTATAAGAGTAAGAAATGAGAATCAGTGGAACACACTGAAATTCAAGGAAAAAGGATGTGTCCAATGGAACAATACAGAAGCTGTGAAGCATAAGATGATGAGCTTGGTGTAACTGTGTACTTGCATTTTGTTTATTTTACCGGGACATGACATTGTTGGAACCAATTGCTTTCACTAACTCAAAATATCTGACAATTTTTTACTTGTGTATAGAATTTCTTTTCGGCATTACTAATGTGTGTGTTTACTTCTTGTTTTGCACTCTTTTCATCAATTGATATGTGTTGCTTAGCATAAAAGGCAACAGTTAGTTTGTGTTGATTAAAATCATATACTGTGATTTTGCACTTAAGCAATCTCTTTGTGCTGCTTTTGAGCAGAGTGACAGTGAATACATGGCCGGCCAACTTTCAGCTTATGGATATGCTATTAATGACAATCCTGAGGAGGCAGATTTGTGGCTGATTAATACGTGAGACTATTTCTCATCTTTTATTATGCTTTTATCCTTCTTACTTATCAGTGCTATTCCCATCAAGAGCTAACGGAGCTGTTTCTTTAAACTCTTGGCAATTTATCATGCATTAAGTTTTGAGGAAGAGTGAAATCAACTCATTTCCAGTTATGTGGTTTTGGTGTTACAAACTTCTCAAAATTGAGTCGAAGTATTGAATTGACTGGTGAGGACCAAAAAGAACCATAACTTTTGGGAGGTCTGCAGTTTGGATTTTTGTTAACCACAAGAAATATTTTGAGTTTGAGTTTGTGTATTGTGATCATGAGTCAGTAGGCATGTTCACACAGTTGTTAATATATTTTTACACCTCCCTTATTCTCTTTATGGTATCGTTTAGGCTTCCTCTAGACATGTAATATGTGCATTGCATCATCATTTAATTTATCCCTTTTCTTTGGAACAGATGTACTGTGAAGTCACCTAGTCAATCTGCTATGGAGACCCTGATATTAAAATCTAAAAGTGCGAGGAAACCACTAGTGGTGGCAGGATGCGTCCCTCAAGGCAGTAAAGATCTGAAGGAACTGGAAGGTGTGAGTATAATTGGTGTTCAACAAATTGATCGAGTTGTGGAGGTAGTTGAAGAAACATTGAAAGGTCATGAGGTGCGCCTCTTGAAAAGAAGCACGCTGCCAGCACTTGACCTGCCAAAGGTACAAATAACTTCAAAATCATCAATTTTATGCATACATTTTCTCATTAGCACATCCTTGCTTCTGCAATAATTTCTTTTCTGAGCTCATGTAACTATGATAGGTGAGGAAGAATAGATTTGTTGAGATTCTTCCCATTAACGTCGGCTGTTTAGGCGCTTGCACTTATTGTAAGACAAAGCATGCTCGTGGACATTTAGGGAGTTATACAGTGGAAAGCCTGGTATATTTCTCTTCCTCTAATTTTTTTCCATCGAGGATCGGTACTGTCTCTTATGGTTACTGTGGGTTCATGTTGTAGGTTAATCGTGTTAGACAAGTTATATCAGGAGGAGTAAAAGAGATTTGGTTGAGCAGTGAAGACACGGGTGCTTATGGTATGTTCCAAACAATAATTTCTGAAACTATATGCTTCCATCGCTAATATCTTGAGAAGCTGAAATTAACAAGTCTATGGAAGAGTAGAATTTTGATTTAGAAATTGTGGAAAGCGATAGAAAATATCATTAATTGATGGCAACCTTGGAAATTCTAAAGGGTTTCATGATGTAGTTTTCTAAGGGAAATATCAACTCATTATTTTCTTAATCATTTTGGCTCTTACTTGTAAACTTCTATAGTGTCTTGGAGTGACTCAAAAATATCATATATGGCAATGTTTATCTCAATATGTATTCCAAAGTGCATTCTTGTCTGTACCCATTATTCCTGTAAAGACAACAGAAGCAGTCTGGTTCTTTTTCAGGTCGAGATATAGGAGTCAATCTTCCAATTTTACTGAATGCAATTGTTGCGGAGCTTCCTCCTGATAGAAGTACAATACTTCGGATTGGCATGACAAATCCTCCTTTTATTCTTGAGCACTTGAATGAGATAGCTAAAGTTTTGTGCCATCCATGTGTGTACTCATTTCTGCATGTACCAGTCCAGTCTGGAAGTGATTTTGTACTGAAGGTAAATCAGTAATTGCTTATAGAAACTGTGGGGCTTAGTCATTGTATAGCTTTTATCAACTAGAAATTACGAAACTTTTGTTGCGTCTAAATAGCACTTAGTGTATAGAGTTGTACGTAAAGATTAGTAACTTATGTTCTCCTCCATGAGTACAGGCAATGAATCGAGAATATACTGTGGGTGAGTTCAAAGTTGTGGTAGATACTCTAAATCAACTAGTACCTGGCATGCAAATTGCAACTGACATAATATGTGGATTCCCAGGTTAGATACCCATATACATTTTTTCTTTATTATCCTTATTTCTTTAGTAAGCTGGATAGTAATTGATAACTGGGCTTAAATGCTTTCACTATTTAGAAATTTAATACGCATACATCATCAAGAGCTTTACCGGATTCTCAGGTGAAACAGATGAAGATTTTGCTGAAACCATTAAGCTGATTCAGGAGTATAGATTTCCACATGTTCATATCTCACAATTCTATCCAAGACCAGGTATAGTTCAGTAAAATACTTTCATGTCTGATTTGATGTTTAAGGACAAATCAATGCATGCATATTGAATGCTGCTTGTTTTGTCCACTATGCTACTTTAGTTTCTTTGTCAAACTGTTTTGATCATATGAGGCTAGAAACTTGTTCAAGCTGTTTATTGAGTATGTTGCTTCGATGTTTCTTTGGAATGCCCATACCCCATCTCTGTCTATACTCTATAGTGAAGAACTGAACTTGCAGTCAAATGGAAACTTTTTCTGTCAACAAAGTCAACAAGATGTCTGATGAGTTAACTTCACTACAACAAAATCAGACTTGGGGCCTAGTACTCCCATCTGTTTTATAGAACCTATAATTTAGGTCTTAATGCCTTTGATATTTGAGCTGGATCTTGTCGCAGAGTGATCCATTTGATAGTGTGGTCTTGATTATGTTCAGGCTTCCTTCACCCCATTCGAGCACATGTGCAGGATCCAGATCTCCACTGCTGGTTGCCTATTGTCAGGCCCCTAGCCTTGATGCATGCATGCTGGTCAAGGGGGAGGGCCAGAAAAGTTCCCTCGAACCAGCCAATCTAAGGATGAGAGGCTGTACCATGGTGCTTGTGGTGCACCTATGCTAGTTAGGCAGGAAGATGGTGATAGCCTTGGGTTGACCGGTGGACCGCTACGGACAAGGCACGATGGTGGTGCATGACCCAGAGCTGGTGGTGCTTAACCCAGAGACCGTGGTGCATGACCCTGAGTCAGTGGTGCATGGCAAGGAAAGGGGATTTAGGCCCTGCAGCCAGCTCAGTGCACAGCAAGGCAGTGCCCTGGACCATGGGGCCCATGATGTGCTGAGGTTGGGCAAGCAGCCAAATTGGAATTCAAATAGTGGCAGGACAATGATGGTGCGGCAAAGGCATCCGTGGCTGGCCGGCATGGTGCATGAAGGTTGCGTGTTCGGCATGCCAATGCCTGCAGGCACCTGCCAGGGGCCTACAACACCCATCATGAGGCACCAGGGGGCCCAAGCAACCCCAACGGTCATCCTGGCAGGTGCAGCAGAGGCAGCCGCTAGGTGGCACTTGTAATTTGAATTTCAAATAGTGTGACCAGTGGTCTATATAAACCCTAGGCCTAGACCCATAGTGGGCATCTGTGGCAGTGTACCCTGTAATTGTGAAGAGCTTGATAAAACTGGGCCACGGCCCTTAGACCCTAGTCCCTGTGCGTGTGTGTATGCTTATGTACTAGTGTGTGCACACTTGTGCTGTGGTGGTGGTGCTGGGTGAGGCTAAACCTGTGCTTCAAGTGAACCAGGCTTGTGAGACAGGGCCACACAATTGGCTAGAAAAAAACTCATTGATGATAATTGATATGAAATCTTAGCATGTATATGGCTTACAAGTTCTATGAAAGATATTCAGTGATGGATGGTTTTGGCTCCATGTGTGAATCATTTACAAAGATTTGTGATATAATGCTTATGGAAAACAATATCCTTAAAAAGTGACTGCTGCCTTTGCATGCATTGTTATAATAATGTAGTACAGGTAACAATTAGACAACTGATGGTGGAATCCCCGAGATACACACACACATACAGTTGCGGTTATATTAAAAGTTTATTAATGAATTGTATGTTTCATTCCACCATCTTGATAAGAACTGGTGGTGGAATCTCATGTATATAAACAGTAGTTTGTTTTCATTGCTGATAATTGATATGGAATCTTGGCATGTATATAAGATTTGCAAGTTCTATGAAAGATATTCAGTGTTAGATGGTTTAAGCTCCATGTTTGGTTATTTACAAAGATTTGTGATATATCTTGATGGCAACAATATCTTTTAAATTTAAAATAAAAAAAAATGAAAAACTTGAAAGATATTGCATACCTTGTGATAATAATATATTACAGGTAACGATGACCAGTTTTCCTTATTTGTGAACAATTGAAATTAACAAACTTTTAATATTTCATTGCTGTTGTTTGTAATCTTTGGTTGGTGCTTGATTCTTTGCCTTACTAAGGTACGCCTGCTGCAAGGATGAAGAAAGTGCCAAGTCGCACTGTGAAGAACCGCAGCCGTGAATTGACATCGGTTTTTGAATCATTCACTCCTTACCATGGAATGGAAGGACGGATTGAGAAAATATGGATTACAGAAACTGCTACTGATGGGATTTACTTGGTTAGATTCCCCCCCTCCTATCTTGCATTTTTGCTTTTAACATGGATGGTTCGATGTTACTTCTCTTCCGAAGTGTCTTTCTGAACACGACTTTCATATAATTGCAGTTGATATCAGAATCAATCTCTCTCTCTCTCTCTCTCTGCCTGCAGGTGGGACACACAAAAGGGTATATTCAGGTACTCGTGGTTGCCCCCAAGAGCATGCTCGGCACCTCAACCTATGTGAAGATTACTTCAGTAGGCAGATGGTCAGTATTTGGAGATGTGATTGAAATTCCAGATGACAATATTTGTGGTGGAGGAGACGTATTAATGGGTGATTCCGCTATTTTTGGTTTGTCTAAAGATGGTTCCTGCTCTATAGAAGAAACTGAATGTTATGCATGTGACTGTGAGGAGAGATGCAACGACATGGATACTCATAAAGTTTCCACCAATATTACAAATCAAGAAGATAGAAGAATCAACGGAGGAAGTTCAAATTACTACTCGAGCATGAAACATGGTGTATCTTTACGGTGGTTGATATCAAGGAAGCAGAAGAACTGGCTTGGAAGCAAAGATGGCCGCACTTCAGGAGCTGGTGAGAAAGAAGAAGTGAGCAGAGAGTTAGCCAGGTTTAGTTACATCGATTGGGCCCTTATGGGGGTGATGGTTTTGAGCTTTGCATGTGCTATGATTTCAGCAATTTTGTATTTCTTTATTGTCAACTCATCATAGCTGCTTGATTTTGCTTTGTTGCCTGTGGTTATGATGTGGACTGTGCCAAGGTCAAAGGTAATGCCTGAAATGTTTGGAATTCCTTTTTCTTTTCTTGGCGCATGAGTGTCCCAAAAGGTGTCGTAGAGCTTGTGGTTTCAAAAATGTTGCATGGTGTAAAAGTTGTGTGAAAAATATGAGGTGTTGCGTTGTAGTCGTACTAGTGTTTGAAAATGCTGATATGGGCTCTCTGGGTCCTGAACCGAGACAGAGGTTGAGTCTAAGACCTGACAGCCGATTTTGAGGGAAAATAGCAATGAGAATCCTAAACGCTAGACAATAGCCCAATTTTAGGGTGACTCTTTTTCAGAATCGCTAGGGTCCCAATCCTAAGTCGTCACTTGGGCAATTCCTTCGGCTCAAAAACTTTGGCATCACTTTGTTATACTATGCTAGATACCATGTCATGGCAGCTGTCCATTCTTTACAACAGAGAGTTGATGTGAACCTTTCTTCCACCTCTCAATGTCTTGGTGGAGGAATGAGTTCTGTCATGGGTGGACGGTCGATGTGATGTGAAAGTTCACTTACCAGAAACTGCATGCATCACTGTATACAATGTGCGTGCGAAAGTGTGTGGTGGTATCCATTTATATGTTGCATGATTATGGACAGGTACACCTGTGTTGTATCGATTGGCTTCAGGTAGAGGAATGATAGAGGGGCCTGTTTATATTCATGCATCTTGTAAACAAGCGCCATGGTATCGACACATGTATAACCTGAATGGACCTGCGTGCAC